GGGGCGGCCCCTGGCGGCGGCGGGGCCCGGCGCGGCCGCGGGAGGGAGCGGGGCCGGGCTCGCTCGGTGGCGGCGGCGGTGGAGACTCCCGGTGCCCCCCCCCGCGCTGAGCAGCGCAGGGACGGGGTTCCTCTGCTGCGGGCGCCCCCGGTAAGACCCGCGCCGGTAACGCGGGGGGGGGAAGGGGGAAGCGGTTCGTGTCGTGTCCTTTGGCTGCTCCAGAGCGGAGCCGCTCCTCCCGGCACGCCGCCAGGGCCGACCCCTCGGCCCGTGAGCCCCACGGGAGGCACCGGGCGCTCCCCGCACCGCTGGGGAAGGGCAGGGAGAGGGAGAGCGCTCCAGGACGGGCAGCTCTGCCGTGCTGCCGGGGGCGCACGCCGGCTCTCCAGCAGGCTGTGTGTGAAATCCCGTCTGTCCGGGCCTTGAAGAGGTTTTTCTTACCGCAGGAAAGCTGTTCTTTATCTACCGGAGTGAAAGTGAAAGCGCTGAGGAGGCTGGACACGCCGAGTGGGGGGTATCACCAGCCTGCATGTTTTACCTGTGGAAGGAGAAGATGAAGTTCTATCAAAGTAGGACTCACCCCTTCTTGGTCTGTAATGTTATCCCAAAATATTCACCCACTCCTGCTGCTGCAGGAGAAACAACAAAGCAATGTTTGGGGCAGGGAGAGAGCGACAGTTCAGGAAGAGCTTGGGTGACGTGTCCGTGGCACTTCAGGGTGGGTATTTGTGCAACTGCTACTTGTTTCTCCTCTAGGAGATGAGCCTCAAGCCTGCCCACATTCCCCTCGGCTTCACTTACTGGGGGGGGCTATTCCTGTAACAGATGAAGTCAGCACAACTCTGAAGTAATGGCATGAATCAAATCCAAGTCCCTCCTGGCTTTGCCAGTGCAAACCCTGGGGTTCCCTGCCTCTTCCTGGTACTGTCAGTGCTGCTTGTCCCTGCACAGGTGAGAGGTGCTGCATAAGGATCTTAGACAAAGCTTGGCTTTTCAGCCTTCTTAACCTTAGTATGCATTTAATGCTATTAACGGCAACATCCTTCTTAAATACTTAGTGCAGTTCCTGGAGGCTTTTCTTTTCCGACTTCATTCCTGTTTATCCAACTCTCCTTCCCATGACTGGAAGCAAAAACTCCCCAGCAGGAAAATCTTGCCCCTGTGCCACATCCCCTTGGATCCCAGCCCCATGTTTGCTCCCTGCACACCCCGGCTGGCGGCCAAAACAGCCCCTCCAGCCAGGCCCGGCACCGTCCGGAGGAAAGTCCCTCAACGGTTCAGCCTGCGGCTGAACAGCAGGACAGGCTCCCTCTGGCTGGTCTCTCCTCCTCAATGAATGAATGAATGAAAATATTGGCCAGCGTTTCTGGTGGAGCTGCATATGCCAGGACATCTATTTAACACAGGCTGCATCTTCCAGCCTAACTGAAACAAAGCACAGCCCTGCCGTATCTGAGTCGTGGGAGCTCTCTCCAACCTCAAGAGCTTCACTGGGTTTGAGCCTGAATTTCTTTCCCTGAACTTTGAGTTATTCAGTAGCGGATTTAGAGGTTTCCTGTATTTCACAAAAGCATTTCCTAACAATTAATGCTTCCAAGAAGCCATCTGTTGACATGTTGACATTAAAAAAGTATTTTCTTTTTCTTGTTCCCTTGGCCACAGTGAGTTAGTTCATTTGGGATTACAATGGTAGCACAGTAGGACTTGGTTTGTCTTTTCCTTGCATGAAATTTTGTTGAAAGTGTGAATTTTGTGTCTCATTTGAATGAGACAAAGTAAAATCCATTTTTAAAATGAAAGTATGTTAACATTTTCTTCTCTTCCCCAGCCTCAAAGATTTACAAAATCTTGGCAGTTCAGTGGCTCCTGTAGAAATGCTTAAATTAAAGCCTTTTCATCTCTATACTGAGGCCAGTTTTCAGAGGAAACATGACATTTGTGTTCATGCTCTCAGTGCCCAACTCGGCCTCCTCTCAGTGGCAGCAGGATGCCCTGGCCAATGCCAACCTCCTCTGCCGCAGAGATGGAGGTCCTGCAACGGGCCAGTGCAGCGTGTGGCTGCCAGGCTGCAGAGACCTGAGAAGGATCCAAAGTGGTCTCTAGCCCAGGTACAAACCAGCCGGCCAGGGCTGGAGGGGGCTGCGGGAAGGGAAGGGCTCGGCTTTTGCAGAGGTTGGAGATAACTGACGTGCAGGAGCGCTGTCGGGCTGTTACATTCGCTGTCATTTTCAGTGTCTGAGCTGGGTGAACCTGAATGGAGTGAGGAGATACAGCCGGGAGGAAGCTGTGCTGCGGGTGCCGGATTTCCCAACGGTCATGGGCAGGATCAGCGTTCGGTGAGACAGAAAAGCGGGTTTCCTCCATTTTTCACGACATTTCTGTGCCGGCTGGGGCCAGGGCAGGGATGAGAGTGCAGGGCAGTGCTCGGCGGGCACCGGCTGAGGGTGCAGCCCCGCCGTGGGGCACGGCTCGCCATGCCCGCTCCGGGCTGCCCGCCCACACAACTCCCGCCGTGCCGTGTCGCGCCCGCACCGCAACTCCCGCCTTTCCGTGCCGTGCCGCGCCCGCCCGCACCGCAACTCCTGCCTTGCTGCGCCCGCCCGCACCACAATTCCCGCCGTGTCGCGCCCGCCCGCACCACAACTCCCGGCGTGCCGTGCGGCGGGGGCGGCCGCTGCGCGGTGCTCTCTGGGTAGGGGCGGGCGGCGCCATTTTGTGTTGAGCCGGGGGTCTCTGCCGGTGCAGCGGCAGTCACGGCAGGCAGAGGCCCCGGGAGCAGCGTGTCCCCTCTCCCCTCCCGCCCCGCCGCCGAGCGCTCCTCTGGCTGTGGGACCGCCCCGCCGAGGGGTGTGACAGCGAGGGAGGGTCCCCCCACGGGCGGCTCCCGGGCCCAGCGGGGAGTTCCTTCTACAAAGGCGCTAGTGTTCCCAAAGAGAATATTGGGAACTCCTCAGCAGCATTTCTGCTCTTGTAAATTAACCTGGTAGATCACTTACAGCGATCGTTGTCGTCTCCCAGCATCAGTGAGAGCACCTGGAAGATGTCAGCTGATGGAATGGCAATGGAGGATAATTCTTGTGGAGCTCCGAGGGGAGAGTCCCCCGTCCTGAAGGGCTGGCATGGGTCCGGAGGGCGGTTGGGCGATGGCAATGTCAGGTCCCAGGGCTCTGCAGAACTTTCAGGGAAGTCCTTCCTTCCTCAAAGACTGGAAACAAAAGACAGCAATAAAAAATACATCAACTCTTCTCCCCCAAATGAAAAATTCTGCCATTTAAATATGTATATGCTAATACTTTTTTGGTCATATGTCTCCTGCTTATTTACTTTGCTTATCCTTACATTATATCTACTGAATGTAAAAGTCCGAATAGCTGGTTTGAGGTCTCTAGTTTAAGAACAACGTGGGCTCAGTGATAAGAAACTCTGAAATTCCACACGTTTTTGGCAAGCCATCTTTTTTGTCATTCCGATTTCCCCCTGGTGACAGCATGTTACTGTTGTTACTGGTGTTGACTATTTGTATGACGTGTTGGGGCCGACAAGGTCTGCTGTAGGACCTGCCGACGGACACCAGCACTCCATCTGAAGAGAGGTTTATGACTGTCAGTTCATCAGCATGGGGTGAAAGGAGACAGAACCACAGAGCATTTATAGGCCTGATTTACTGTTGTTACTTCGTGATCTCAGTGCAGTTCATCCTCGCTGATACCAGAGAAAGGACCAGATGCAGAGAAAAGTCAATGGAAGAGCTTGTGTGGGTCTGTTTTTGTACCAGGTACTAATATTTTCAGAACTGCACCCTATATATTTTGCCTAAGGTTAGTGAGTCTGAGAAAGAACACAGACCTCTCATTCCTGTCTGCTGAAAGCGTTTGGCACTGCCAAATGTACCAAAACCTGTGTCTCAGGGAGGGCCAGGCTATGCCTGCAGGTGCACCTGGTTGGAGATGGTGGGCATTCTCAAATCCTTGAAAACAGAGCGTGCAAAAGGACTGCTGGGTTAAGTGACTGAGGACAGAAGGCATTCTAGTTACGTTTTACATTCCCCCCTTTACAGCGCTGTTGAGTTATTCTGTTTGTGTGCATAAACAAGAATTGTGATGAGATCCCTATCAAAAAAGCCGATGTTTCCATTGCCAGTGTGCTCCATCACAAGTTTACCTGTATCCTACAGCAGTCTGATGGGAACAACTGCGGGCCCTGCGGCAGTGAGGTGGCTGTTAATTGCCATGGATGTTTGGCATTGATGGGGTTCTTTGTTGGCAGCCGTTCTAACCCAATTATATTTCTAAAGTCAGACTGAAAAGCATTGTAGGGAGCACCATGTAAATGGCAGTGAATGCAGGGAGACTGAGCGACCTCCCAGACAGACAGACAGGTGCCAGCTAAAGCCCCATATGATTGATTTTCCACGGCTAAAATTGCAACCACAGACATCTGGGTTTGCCCCGTTTGTAACAGCAGCAGCAAACACGAGCTGCTGTCTTAGAAGGGCAAGGCTACTTAGGATGACATAGAAATATGGCATTTGACTATCAATGGGTGATCTTTTACGTTTCTGTGAGGAAGCATTTATACTTCCCACACCAGGAAGTGAGATTTTAGCCCTCAGAAAAACACACAATCTCTGTGTACATGTGAGCTTTAGTACTCGGGCTTGTTTCAGCACAGGGCTGATGTTTAAGTCGGAGACTTTTCTGACCTGTAGGTCCAGCCGTATAAAATGGGCCAAAGCCAGCAGAAAGAAAACTGAGCATTCAGTCGTTTGGTATCACGTGGGCAGGAAAGAGCCTCGTGGATCTAGGGCTGGTGGGAGAGGCAGTCAGCTGAGTACCCTATGATGTTCCACTACCCAGCAACGCTGATGTGCTCTGGAAATGGCCCCGTGACAGCACGATGCTGCCACCCTGGGCTGTCGCACATTCACTACATTCTTGCTACAAAACGTGGGTCCCAGGGGAGTGCCCATCTACCTGTGCCCTGGCTGCTAAACAGGCCAAAAGCTTTGCTCTGTTAATTACCCCTGGGAGCATCCCACGAGGCTCAGACCAGGCTGTGGGGTGATGTGTGGGTCAATCCAAGGGGCAGTTTCAGAGACAAGGGCTAACGGCCTCTGCAGGAGTTCCCGGGTCCTTTGTCCATAGTTACTTCCTATTGATAAAGGAGAGTTGGTTGTTTTTTTGGGAGGGTATGTGAGAATCCTTCCTTCTGCAAAACTATGCAATGAAGGACAGTATGTATGTTAATTTATGCAGCATTTTACACAGAATGGAGCTTAATAATCTCTTTTTGTTACAAGAACTTCACCAGAGACCGAATCACAGGTGGTGAACTCCCAGGTCCCAAAGCAGCCATGGGTTCATTGTGCAGTTTCTGCCCTAGTGACAGAAGCTCCGATATAATCCAGAAGTGACTGAACCGCTGGGATCTCATGCAAGACCACCATGAATTTCCTTTGCTTTTCAACATTATGTTACATTTGTCTGTAAATCCCCCAAATGTGGCATATTTACTCAGCGGTAAGAGCCGGGGAGGTGCGGACAGGCCAGTGCCCGGGGCAGCAGTGGCCCATGGCCCTGTCTGCACCAGTTCCAGCCCCCGGGGCCGTGTCGGGACCCCTGCCGGGCCCGGGCTGGCGACCTGGGAGCTGGCTCCTGCCTGACGGTTCCCGCCGGGGGCACCGTCCGCCCCGGGCGCTGCTGGCGGGTACCGGCTCCTCGCACCGCACCACATTTTCCCCCGGGGCCCGCTGCAGCCGGCCGGGTTGCGCCAGCTACTGTTCTTGTTACCCCCCGGCCTACATGGGAGACGGGAGCTGGGGGACAGACCTGCCCGCTCTCCTCCGGCAGGAACGGCCTCCAGGGGATCCCTGTCCGCGCTCCCCGGCGGCGCTCGGGGATATCGCCGGCTGCAGCGCCCGGCTCAGGGGAAGGTGGCCGCGGTGGGGCCCGGCTGACAGGGCCCAGCCCGGCGCGCGGCGCCGCTGAGGTGGGAGCGTCGCGCTCCGCCTCCTTCCCCGGGGGGCGCCACGCCGCCCGCTCTGATTGGTCGCCTTTTCCCCTCGGCCCAATGAGCTCCTCCTGCCGGAGGGCTCCCGGCGGTGAGGTCACTACGCCGTGGCCCAATGCGGGAGCGAGGCCGGGCAGAGGGCGGGCGGGGATTGGCCGGGCGCGGCGCTGGCGCGGGCCGATTGGCTGGACGCGCGGAGGCGGTGCGGAAGCGGTGCGCTGCGGGCGGCGGCGGTGGCGGTGGCGGCGGCGG